TGTGACAGGGCAAGAGAGGTGACAGGGATCCCCATTCATGAGAATGCTAATCCCCAGGGCAGACAAGGGCCTCAGCAACCTGATGTGGCTTTGAGGTTAACCCCATTGGGAGCATGAACGTTGACCAGAGCCCTTTGTCTGTAGCAATTCCCAATCCATTTGTCCTGTCAATCCCCTGTGTCGTCCCAGCTGCCTCTGTTCTCTGTCCCTCCTCCCTGCAAGTGAAACAGCGCTGTCATTCATTGCCTGATCTCTAGTCCCTCGCTAAGCCCTCCATAATAGCCAAGCTGTTTTAGCATGCTGCAGGCCCTGATAATGAAGGAAGGAAGTTTGTTTTGTAATTGGATTAGCACTGCTGGGATCATGCTCTTCCATGGTGGTCAGGGCTGAGCTGGCACGGCCCCTGAGCCCTGTGCTGCTGCGTCTGGTTGTGGGCCAGCTTGGGGCTGTGCTTACTCCTGCACAGGACTTCACTGGCCAAAGGATGTAGTCTTGCAGGAGAAAAGGCAACCAAGAGGGGTGAAAGGGTGATTCAGAGCAGAATTTGAGCTTGCCCTCCTTGGAAGCTGGGGTGTGTTTGCTGAAACTCTGTCACAGTCCCTGATGTCTCCCACCTGCTGGAAATGAAGCACTTGGGTTAGCCTCAAGTTCAGCGTCAGCGTCATCACCCACCCTAGCACAAGCCATCAGGGCTCCTGAACACCTCATCGGCTGGAGAGCATCACCAGTAACTGATCCTTGTGAGACTGGGTAAAACCATCAGATGTGTGTAGGGTGTGGTCCATCATCAATGCCCCCTCCCTGTCCCTCTGGCCTGGAGAAGTTCCCTTAAGCCCAAGCCTAGTGATTAGTTTTAAAACCCCAGCCCTAGCTGTGATGTCCAAGTTGCCTGAGTATCACTGAAAACACAGTGCCTTGTATTCTGTCTGCGACCACAGCAGCGTGCAGAAGGAACAAATAACCCAGCAACTTAGCTGCCAAAGTTTATAGCAAAGGAGAGAAATTTGTTCCTGATCCCTGCAGGCTACCAGCAAAACGTGCAGTGTAGCACATACGTAGTGCACACATGCATGTGGCACCCACGTGGCCAAGCTGAATGCCTCCTTTCAAGTCTTCTCGTAAAGACCAATATATTTGACACAAGGCATAAGTTTCAGCTCATAACTCAGAGACCACCCTTGCTCAGTCCCTTCGGTACGCTTCCCCAGCATTGTCTGAAACCACTTACTCCTGGTAAGCTGTTTGAAAATTGTCCCAGAAC